GCCTGCGCTCGAGCCATCCAGCTGCACCACGAACGCCTTCACCTTGTCAAATAGCATCGCGCCCGGGAAGCGAACTCTAGGTGTCCGGAACCTGGGCTTCGAACCGGCGACACGGCGGCGCGAAGTGCGGACGCTACAGCCTAAGGACGCGAATCAACCTGGCGCGCGCAAGCGCATTTACCAACCAGGCCGGAGACTCCTCACGGTTTGCGCCGGCGCTGCCTTTATACGGCAGGCAGAGGCGGGGCGAGACGCAGGGCACGCCCCCGGAAGTGAGTACGCCAATGGCGCGGCGAGAGGCGTGGCTCCGCCCAGGCTTGGAGCAAAATAACAAACTCCCCAGCTCTCGGCCGGCTGCCCTCTACCCTCATTGACCATGGGGTGAAACTGAAGCACCGAGGGCAAGAGCATGTATCTCAGACTCCCTAGGTAAAGAAAAACTGAAGCCTGGAGGCGGGACCCGAGCCTGAGGTCACCTAGTAAAAGCATTCTACCCATCGGCTTAATAATCAACCGGTCGCCACTTGCAGACGTGACTCGAGGCATGACCAGCCCTAGCTGGAGAAGTGTGGAACGGTCTGACCCTGGCCGGAGCCTGAGCGCCTAGGACTACCTCGGACCTCAGTTTCTCCCCTTCTGTGCAATGGAGGAGGAAGGAAGAAGTGGATGCGGCCTCTTTCCACTAGGGCCCCTCTGCCCCCTCCTCTGATTCGAAACCCGCTCAGCTGGCTGACCCGAGCTAGTGACAGTCTCCTGGAGTCTGAGTTTCCACGTTTGTAGAGCCAGAAGAAAATCAGTCCCGATCTCAGGGGGTTGTGCATGAAGCACTGTGTAGCTTGACTCCTCCCAGAGCCTCTCGGATCAGCAACCCGCTCCCGACACACTGCCACTCGGCTGCGCCTCAGCTCTTTTACCCAAGTTGCTCCTACAACCCGTCGTTTCTTTCCCATCTTTCAACATCGTCCCCCCTCCCCCCGCCCCGCCTCCTCCAACTCCTACTTGCCCTATAGGCCTAGCTCGTCCCCTCACAGACTGGGCCGAGTACCGGAGAAGCTAATGGCATCCCGGGATCCAGTGCTACGGTGTGTCTTTGGGGCTATGGCCCCTCTCTGGGCCTTAGTTTCCTTAGAGTTGGGAGCTGCCTGCTCATGATCTGTGGGACGCCTGCGCCCTCTAGTGGCAGCAGTATGCACTGCTGCTCGAACCCACTCCCTACCTTGGCCAACCCCTTTTAAGTCTGGCTCAGGCCACGCAGGAACCTCCCAGAGACCTCGGCACACCCCGTGGGTGGCGGCCATAACCAGACACGGTCAACCAGTGATAAGGCTCAGATCAGGCCTAAAGAGATGGGTAGAGGCTGTTCACTGAGTGATCAGCCTGAGGGGCTGCCTGGAGGAGGGGTCTATGGGACTGAAATGAGGGGTTGGGACCTTCTCCTAGGGCCAAGTGGAGCCTAGAAAGAGGACAGGAGGCCATAATCCCAGGAGGAGGTGGAGAATAAAGTGACCCTGGGGGGATAGGGAGTCTCATACTGAGCCAGTGCCCTCAGTCCATTTCACAGATGGGTCCCCAGAGGCTCAGAGAGAGGCAGGGCCTCACTGGAGGTCACAAAGCAGCTCCACAAGCTTCACGCTGCCACTATCTTAAGGAACCCACCAGTGAACGGGACCAGGGAGAGTAGGGTGAGACCAGACCCAATTTCCCTTGAGTCACAGGGAAAGGGAAGTGTCTACAGGGCCCCTTCCTGCCCCACCCCATGCCCAATACGCCTTGGTTTCCACAGCTGGTCAGGCCACAGCTCCCACACCTGGGGGCTGCTGGGACAAGGCTGCAAGTCTGTAAGCAAAGCATCTAGTGTGTGCACAGTGCCGGAAAAGAGGGGGCTGTGGGTGGGGAGCCGGGTCTGAGCTGCTTCCTGCCTCTGCCCATTTTGCAGACAGGTATAGTAGGGTCTGCCTTCCCCCAGAGGAGGTGGCTAGGGCAGCCAGGGAGGCCAATATCCTCCTCAGCCACATTGCACAGTGCTGGGGCACAGACTTGCTCTCTCTTGCCCCTGTTTTGCTCCTGACTGGCTATATGGCCTGAGGGCAGGGGACTGAGGTTTAGAGCAAGGTAGGGACATGCCTAAGACCTAAGATTCCCAACCTGACCCCACCCCAAGTCTTCTCTTTCCTGGGATGCATTCACACCCCTTCATCTGCAAACACCACCAGAACCCCTAACCCAGGGAAGAACTGGTTCCGTGAACACTGGGGAGGCGCACTGGCGGAACGTGTGACAGGGGCCTTCTTTGGGAATCAGGAACCCCAGGCCTTGGTTTAACGAGGGATCCTGGCTCCAGAGAAGAGGATCTCCCAGCTCCACCCAGGGATTCCCCCAGAATCCATACGGGGGCCCCCACCCCACAGCCTCTAGATCAATGGCGTTCCGGCTCTGCAGGGAGGGGCACCCAGGTCCTGGGAGTGGTTCCTGGCAAAAAGGATTTTGGAAGCGGGTAAGTGGGTGAGTGTCCCAGTAGGAGGGTCCACACCCTAGGGAGGAGGTCCCCACTTCTTAAGATGGGTCACCCGACAGCACAGCCTCTAAGTCGAAACTCTGGCTCTGGAGAGGAGCGCCCAGACTTGGGTAGAGGGTCCCTGGGAATCCTGGCTCGGGGGTCGGGGCTGAGCAGCTTACCTCGGAGCAGCAGCTGCCGCCGCCGCAGATACGTCTCCGCGGCTGCGAAGTCGCTGGACACCGCGTTCACACCCACGCTT